CTAGGTTTGACCTCTTGTATTTCGAGTGAAATTAAATTTTCTGAAAACTTCCAGGGCTCGATTCAATCTGCGTGGTCACAAGTACCAAAAGCAGATATAGAAAAAATTATTTCGGATCCAAAAATCATAGATTTTATTTCTTCTTTATTAGACCGTAAAGATCCTGTTTTTGAAAAATATGCGATCATCTCACATTTCGAGTTTCATGATCTAAAACATTTTAAATCACACACTGGACCTAAGCGTTATGTTTATTTGAGTGAATTCAAAACTTTATTTAATAAAGCATACATTGAATCGTCGATCTTGGACTGCTATTGTATTTATAATATACAAAACGAAAATTGGCAAAATGTATCTTTTATACCAATGAATGCAAGCATTTGGATTCTAGGAAGAAGAAGAGACGAAATTATAAAAGCTGATTTTTATATTTATAATATTTCCTATGATTATAAAGATATCGTATTTGTACCTTACGTACATGGACTTCATTGCTGTGTTTTAGTATTAAATTGTCAGACACAAGAAATGGTCCATTATGATCCATTGATTGAAACTACTGGGGACGAAATACCAAAGATATTTTTGAATTATTTGAAAAAATGTTCTCCCAATAGATTATCGCGAATTCAATGGAAAATAGAGGCACGTTCTTATACAATTGTACAAAGAGATGGGTATAACTGCGTACCTTACGTTATGAATTTCATGAATTGTGAGGTGAAAAAAAGTATGGGATTGTCAGCAAATTTAACAGATTTTTCAGCTAACAAACACAGAATTTCTCTGGCCAAATTAATAATCGAAAAAAAATGTCCCTCAAAAAATATATGCATAGGTTGTAAACGTGGCTCAGAGGATTTAATTTATAAGTGTAAATTTTGTGATAGACGTGCGGATCAAAATTGTGCATCATTTTTTTTGAGTGAAGAAATTTGCAAATTCTGCTCATACCGTATATCAGTGAGTGAAAATCAGGACAATATCGTTGTTGGATTGCCGAATGTCGGCAATCAATGCTGGTTAAACTCTAGTTTACAAATTTTGTTCAAATTGTGATTATGGGATCAATTATCAACAATTAACTCTTCAGATATCGTAAAAAATTGTTTGGACCTACGATCATTTTTATTAACGTGCGATATTGTAAAAGATAAGCTTCTTATATTATCAAAGAAAAAGTGAGTGAAAGATCATTACAATTAAGTTCTATCAAATATTTTTGCTAATAATTATTATTTCTTTTCAGCGTACTTCAACAAAATTTAAGTTTACTCGATTGCAAAGGAAATTTTTCTTTTACGTCGGACAAACAGCAAGATGCATCAGAATTCATACAAAGATTTCTTCACCATCATAAAAACAGCCTGGAAATTTATGATGAAGAAATTCTAATGGATAATTTATTTGTCAAATTTACACAATATACCAAGTGTGAAAAATGTAATTTGTCAAAGGAATCGCATGATTTTGAAAAGAATATTTTATTTTTTACGTTCCCTACGACAAAAAAGGATTCGAAAACGTATTTTAACATATGTGACTTTTTCAACACTTACATGCATGATACCCGTAAACAACGTTGCTCAAAATGTAAAGAAGATGTTCAACATTCTATTGAAAATAAAGTGAAACATTTTCCTATATTTTTGTTTTTAATCGTCAAACGAACTACATTCGAAGGAGATAAAATATTCGATCAAGTGGAAATTTTGAGAGAAATGAATTTGAACGTGTACAAGTGAGTAAAAATGATGTGTCTTCAATTATTGTATTCGATCCGATCAATATTTTAAGCAGAAATTTTTTTTATAGCCTCTTAAATAGTTAAATTTCATTGTATAAAAATTTAAATTTGGATGCAAAATTGGACTTTTGATTTTTGAAATATATTTTTTTGAAAAAAGAAAAATTCTTCCATCTCACACAGCTATGTAACCCCACAAGACCCTGGAAATCAAGGTTAAGAGCGCATTGTATGCTACTGAGAACACTGATATAGACCGCCTCGCGGATAAGACAAAGAAGAGTATAACGCAGTCCATGTTGATCCTACAAAAAAATAGGGAGGCAAAACATCCAAAACAGAACGCTCACGTCCAAAACGTTCACATGGAAAAAACCTTCACATTCCTGTACATCCCATTTTTAAAATATCCACAGCTCTCTCTGTCATTCTTGCCAGAGGGACAACAACAGAATAAAATTGGGGGAAATAACAAATCACAGATGATCTTAATAGCAGAATTAGGCTAATTGGCCAAGCGATATAAGAAGTTAGTGTTTGACTATAGTAAAAGATTGTAGAATCCCAAGATACGTCAAGTATCGCGATAAAAACGAGTTGCTTTGTCGAAACATTTTCTCACCGATTAAACTAGATATTATCACGCGTAAGTTAAAAGTGAAAAAATAATGAGATGCTTTGCCCGTGAAGCACAAATGATTGACAAATACTGATTGCCGAAAAAAAATTAATAAATGAAAATTTGTCGATAAAATCATGCTTGTTCTGTAATAGTTTGAGGCACGAAACATCAAATTGTAAAGTGTTTCTCGAGACAAAGAGAAAAAATATGTCATTCGTAGATACGATCGAGCAACGCGTAAATGGCGCACGTTACGCACTCCCCGTAAGAGATAGTTGCAAACATTGCGATAATGTAGACCACTCAATAATAATTACACACAATTTTTTTCAAAAAATATAAAAAACGAGAAAAAAGAGCCGGGGATTAGTATAATTAATAAAAAATGGAAGACCAAAGTTCATGAGGTTTTTGCAATCGACAAAATCATAAAATCAGTAATTGTTTAGAATACTAGTTGTCGCTAAGCGCACTTCGCGCGCATTTTTAAGAAAATTTATTAAAATTATAAGCTTTTATTTTATTGTTTTTTTCATGAGTCAATCATGAATAGAGATATAACATTTTTTAAGTGAACATGATGTCATACTCATTGTTATAAATGATCTTTAATAGGGGATTAATTGAAAAATAATAAAATACATATCAAATGATTTTCAAATATCGACATTGCAGATTCAGTAGATGTTTTCAAGTAGAAATGTGAGCTATTGCTATATCGATATGGTTTTACTATTACATATCGAAACTTGTTAGCAACACGATGTTGCACTGCAGAGAAGTACAATGAAGTGCTATTTCCAGTTTATTAAGCAGCAAGATGCTTCTTCGGAGCTCAATTCTGCATGACGCTACCTTCGCATCCCGTTGCGTAAAAATAATAAAAATCAAGTTCAACTCAAGATGGCACATTGCAAAAACAATTTAAAACTGTACATGCTGATATCGAAGTCAGCCCAAAATTTCAATCCAGTTTTCGGAATCTTTACTGAATATCTATCTAAAAGGCTCTACAGTAGCTACCTCAAAATCATTAAAATAAAGCTCGTCGTAGAGCCTTTTGTTCAGTAAAAGATTCAGAAAACGGGATTAAAATTTGGATTTTTGGGCTAACTTCGTCATTCTCTTAGAATTAAATTCACACCAGTAAAGAGAACACGTGTTTTTAATAACGTGTAAGTTTTGATTCTGTACAGAATCTGTAAAGCTTACAATTTTACATTGTTTTCGCAAATGGCCATATTTTTATTATACAAGGTGTCGAATTGAGCTCCGAAGTGACATCTTGCTTTTGTGAATTGGACTGTGAATCAAACTGAACTGGTCAGCCAGTTCAGTTTGATCAACCACCAGCAGTCGGTTGGGCCATTTGCAACTGCAAAGCGAGCTGAGCCAGCCAAGTCATCAATGCCGACACCTAGAATCTTCCGCCAGGCCTACGTATCTTTGATTGTAATGAATTCAGTAAGCCTTGGTGTAAGTAATCTTTGTATTTGTATGAATAAGTGCTCGTGAATAAAAGGGTAATTGTGTGTACCCAAACTGACATTAAATTTATCATCATTCCTCTCCTCCCAGATTAAATGCAACGCAATTAATAACGTGCATTTCATAGCCTGTTACATGGATGTGTTACATGGATGTAAATTCTATTTATTCAATATCGCTATAAATGTAATTATTCCTATGAATTGCGTTTCAACCACGTTATTGCAACACTTTAATTCGTGTGTACTGTAAAGAGCTTAAAAAGAGAATTTTTACAATCAAAACTCTTTTTTGAAAAATGTTATAATAGATATCATCTCGCTCATATTTTATTATCGATCTTTCTCTATGTCATTTATGATTATACATTAATTTCTATTGCGCTCGATTTTTGTTCATAAAAGAACACCGCTACTCTGAATGATACGCACGCCAATTAATCTCTGATTATAATGAACGCATGTGTTTAGATATTATTGCTTTGCTATGAGCCATTTTGACGTTTTAAGTAAAATTATTCATCCTTATTTAAATAACATTCTAGTTGTAACCTCGTAAAAACCTTTCAAGTTCCTTCACCATCTTCGCTCACTAGTCGATATTACAATTAACCAAGACAACCTTTCGCAGCAGCTCTGGACACAGCGACTTGCAACGCATGTTTATGTTTCACTCGCAAGCCAGCCTGAGCTTGCATTGGATAAGTTCATCGATCTTGCGGATACAATTTTTCACTTTAACATGCTCTGATGCAATGCTCGTTAGCTGGTTCTCATTTATCACCCTGAATTTAATATTTATAATGAGGTTATAAAAATAATGACGAAAAAAATTGTTTTACAGTAGAAAAATTGAGTTCACAATGGATTTTTGATTCCCCGAGAATGGGATGAATTTTTTCTGTCAATGAATTGCAGTGGATTATTAACTGGGTCATTCGACTTTATAATATGATGATGAGATACAATATCTTTACTGGTAATTTATTGATAAGATAAGTCGACATCACTCGAAAATCACATAATTTTGATATCGTAACATGCCAAAAGTAAGATATAACTTTTGTATAAAATAGACTAATTGGCTTTGGTATTTGCATTTTTCATCGCCTAGTGTTTATAGCAAAGTCCCAGTATCATTATGATGCGATCACTAGCATTGACGATTTTTTGTGGGGTGATTGTGGTTAAAAGTGCTGTTATTGATACATCAAAGGACAAGAACGGATTTCTCCCAAGTAGTGTTGAAGATGCATTGAACGATGATGTCACAAGTGTTTTCAATGAAGTAAGTAAAATAGTCTTTTTTTAAAATTTACATCGAAATGAAATCTTCTCTTTTGTTTCAAGAAGTTACATAGTTTTGTGAAAAAAATATTTAAAACACATTTAACTGTTAAAGAACTCTTAAAAAGATATTGAAAATGTCCGATTTTGCATGTTTTTCTCGGTCATTATTTTATTTTTTGGTAGGCACGATATTTTCTGTCAGGATCATCTGAAACCAAAAATTCGACGAATGTAATTTGATGTTTCGACACAATTTTAAACGAACAGTTAGCCCATATTTTTGTGCGTTTTTCAAATTTTAGTCACCGATCTGGCCCCTCTAAAAACTTCTTCAAGAATTTTCTTTATTTTTGGGTTTTACTGACGGGGTTAAAGGCGTCAAACCACATTCCGTCGACCAGCTTTTAATTGCGCACAGTGTACGCAAAAACGCATTTTGGGCACTTGTTGCATAAATAACTATTTTGCAATAGTATAGAGAAAAATGTCATTCATGCAATAGTATGACGAAAAACGCCTTTTTTCGTACATTTTCGTACTGACTATGTAGTGCAATCAACTGCATACAAGGGCATGAGGATTTAAAACCAAACAAAAGTCTGGTTACTGAGTACCCGGTGGCAAGTTGCTTTGTAATTGAAAAATTATCCCACCAAATTACATCAAATTAAAGGAAACTCGTAAAAAACTGCATATGTAGTGCATCCAAGTACATCCAAGTGCATTCGGATTAGAAACAAAAAAAAAACCTTGTGCGACTTGGTGCACCAAGTCAACGAAATGTAGTTCGACACATTTTACGCAGTCAGTACGATTCAAAAATAACGACAATTCTCGAAGAAGTTTTTGCAGGGGCCAGATCGGTGACCTGGTGCATCAGGTCGGTTAAATGTGGCAATCAGACCTTCAGCTGACCACCCTCAACAACCCCTAAAACTTTAAGAATATTCCGTGAGGTTGTTTTCTAGAAACTGTTGGCACAAAATATGCCGAAATCAATTGAGCTGAAAGGATAAACGATTTCGTTTCGCTCAGCATTAAAAAATGAAAGCATTGAAAATGGTTCGCCATTCGCGCAACAAACACGCACATAAATCAAGAATACCGCATGAATCTTTGCGATTGCACAATCTTGACGCACTGGCAGAGTACCCTCTGATGCTCATGGGGTCGAGCGGCTCCTGAGATGGATTTAACCGTGCCTCGACAAGGATAAGTGCGTTAGTTACTAGTAAACTATACTTAATCGTGAGCCCCGATCCATGCTACTGTTCCATGCTGCTGGACCAAAAACTGACTCCTCTTTCTCGCGAGCGAGCCGGCGCATCTTGAATCGTGTGCGGAATTTTATCTTCACGCATGCCGTCTTGTTTGTGACGGGGCCGAAAATAACGTTTTTTTCGTCGCTAGACGTGCAAATTTCGCTCTGACGATTAGTAGCTGACATCGGTGTGTGCCTATATACACAGTCTCATCCAGCTACTCTTATTATGCAGAGATGCTCACATATTTTTACTTGTTACAATAAATTTATGAAATTATTATAAAAAATGAAATAATTAATAGATATTTTCAAAATTTTTCAACGATTAGACACGTTTCATTAAAATAAATGCAATCTTTGTGATTAAATTAAATTCTTGGTTCAGAGTTGTTTTATTTATTTTATAGATTTGAAATAATATTTTTCGATAATCATTAATAAGATAAAATATTTTTTTTCAGGTCAGTGGTAACGATTCAGTTAATTACAGCATAGAAATGCATTCAATTGAAACAGACGATGGTTATATTTTGACTGTGCATCGAATCATAAATAAAGCTTTGATCACGAAAAAAAAGGGCATACCGGTGTTATTACAACATAGTTATTTGTCCTCATCGATGGATTGGCTCATTTTAGGCCCCAAACGAGCTTTAGGTAATTTTAGGTCATTTTTATGTTCAAGTAAATTATTTTTATTTTTCAATCAGGATTTCTTCTCGCTGATGCTGGCTACGATGTGTGGCTTGGAAACTTTAGAGGAAATAAATATTCATCTGGACATGTGTACTACAACCACTCCAATAGTGAATATTGGAATTTTAGCTTTCATGAGATGGGAATGTTTGATATCCCATCGATGATCGACTATATTATGTTAAAATCATCTTACAATAAGCTGTATTATATTGGCCATGGTCAAGCAGTCACTGCGTTCTTAGCAATGGCTAGCATGAAACCTGCTTATAATGATAAAGTAGCAAGGACGTTCGCGTTAGGCCCTATAGCATTCTGCAATGCAATGTTTAGTCCCATGTTTCAAGGAATAGCTAATCTAGAACAAAAATATAAAGTAATTTCATTTTATATCTAAATTCACATTATATTCCATTGGTACAATGCTTCAAATTTAAAAACTTAATTTTTTTCCAGAATTCTTTGCCCGAACTTATTGGCAAAGACGAATTCCAACCTTCAAACAAATTGCTGTATCCTTACGCGAACTATATTTGTAATTCTACTGATAGTTATCAAAATGGCCCGTTATGCTTTAATTTCATGGCACTCTTGAATGGTTTTAAAGAGGACAACATCGATCAGGTATTGTGTTACAGAAAAAAATGTGCTTCCGATAATGAAAAACACAGGGTCAAACACAAAATCCTATATATTACGTTGTTAACCCAGAAATTTTTTATTTCGAATTCAAAACATAAATAAAAAATAAAATAAAAAAAAAATAGCACTTTTATAGTACTGTATAAGAACTGTATAATAACTGTAAAAGTACTGTAAAGGTACTATACAAGTACTGTTAATAGTAATTTTAATAGTAATTTTATAGTACTTAAATCGAAATGTCAATTCAGGGGAAAATAGGGCACGAAATTGCTGATTTTGATTTGAACTCGCTTCCAGGTTGGTACAACGGAGGCGTTGGCTCGGCACCTGACAGTGTCGTGGTAACCGGGTCGGATTTACGCGTATTATATCGCACTTGCTACTATAGGCTATCGTACATGGCACTGCACACGATTTACAATGATTGCGACAGGTGGTTCTTTGAGAGAATAGTTCGCGTTGTGACTAGTCACGCTGGTGCACGGGTCAAGAGAGTCTCTCTTCTATAGCTCGATCATCGGTCCTTCGGCTCTCGCGTGCTCGCCGTGCTCTCTGCACGACGAGTCTCGCGCTGACGAATATATTCGTGCCCGCGGTTTTAATGTAATTTTGAATTTCCATTACAACTGAAAACCAAAGCAGTAACCCACGTGACCCAGCTCGGCTATTGTTCACACAATTAAACTACAAACCAAAGCAGTAATCCACATGACCAAGCACGTGTACCGTTTAAACAACTTAATCGGCCCACCAAAGCGTACCCATGTAACCCAGCTCGTCATATTTGAATAATTAATATGTTTTTTGTAAATTAATTTTTTATGAATTGGTTTTTCCATCTATTAATTCCATCTATTTATTTCTCGTTCCTGAGAAATGTTACGAAAATTGTTCAAATAATAACGAGCTAGTCTATGTGAGTTACTACTTCCGTTCACAGATTTAACTATTTAAACAATAGTCGAGCTGGGTCGTGCGGGTTACTGCTTTGGTTTGCAGATTTATCAAAGAAAAGATTACCGATCTGGGCTACGTAGGTGACTACCTTGGTTTGCATTTTTTACATTTTCTAACTTTTTTAAAATTTTTGATACAATTTTTCCTTATAATTTTTCGTATTTATGTTTTGAAGGTTTTGAATCTCGCGCCCGAACGCTATCTTGAATTTTTTTCACCACCGGGCTCCCTGGCCGCAAAAGGGAAACAGCGAGCCTCCCGCAGCAATATAACAGAATTTTTTCGTTGTTCGATTAAGGAGAAAAAAATTATATTTTTGCCAATAGTAAAAATATCCAAGCAAAGATAAAAACTCAAACTATTATTAGGCATATTGAGTATCGTATTTTAAACCATACATTTTTTATTATAGCCCAAAAGTTACTTAGGTGCGCCATAACAGGCGGTTCTCCCCTACATACAAAAATACAATACTCATTGACTCGGTCTACAACATTTTCAGGAATATTGTCATTCTCCAAATTTTTAAAAGTACAAACATGTTTTGATAAATTTATGTACGACAAAATCTCGCGCAAGAAAATGTTTTAAAAACTTTCCTGCACAAAAAATGCGATGCACAGTGATTCGCTCTACAGAGTTGTCAGGACTTTTTTCGTTCACGAAATTTTTTCGTACACGAATTTTCAGAAAGAAATTTCGTTGATAAACTCTTTTTAGAAATTTCGACAAAAACTGGAGAGAATGGAGATCCCATAAATTTTCATGAAATTTTCGTGTACGGAAATATTTTCGTGCACAAAATTCCCCTGAATAGCCAGACCCTACTTAAATAGTTCTTAACAGTACTATTATTATTATTCTTATTATTTTTTTGTTTTTTGGTTAAAAATAGTTGGTTACACGTTACATAAATATTTCTACACAACGATATATAATATATATTATATATTATATAAAATATAAATATATATTATTTTATTATAGATGTATAATATAGTTATTATACTATAAATATTTTTTTTTTAGAAATCGAAATCAGAAATTTTAGGGGTCTTAACTTGAAAGTCCTGAATACCTCCAACATTCCTAAAAAATTACATGAACTTGTTTACTTATAATAAAGCGATTGTATTTTTCTAGGCAACCCTCAATCTCATTTTACGCTACTCCTCTTTGGGCGGAGCGAGTGCCAAGGAAATAGAACATTATGCTCAGCTGTATAATTCAGGTTAATTGATTATACTATTTTACAACCTAATATAAACCTAATAATATTAATTGACCTCGCTTTTGCTTGCAGGGATTTTTCAACAATTCAACAATGGCCCACATTACGATCTTACCAAAGTTACTACTCCGGTTACTATTTTCTATAGTGACAACGACTGGATTTCTTCAGTACGGGTATGCAATTTAAATGATTAAATTATAGCTTATTCAAGTCAGGTGGAAATAATAGACCTGCAGCTAGTGGCAGATTACAAGTGCTGATTTTTTGACTTATGCCATTAAAAAGAATGAAAGATACATCGATAACAAGCACAAAAAAACGAAATATTACGCCGTATTAGCGTGGCGTCTATTTTAAATTAAATACATATTTTTAATTAAAAATGAGCAAAAAAGGCTTAAATTTTAAAAAAATGGGATATCCAATTAAAAATAGACGCCACGCGAATACGGCTTACTATTTCGTTTTTGTGCTTGTTATCGATATATTTAGCTATCGATGATTTTTAATGGAATAAGTTAAAAAATCAGCACTAGCTGATGGTCTATAAATAGTACTATATGCAACTAGTGCGGATATACTCATTGTCCAATACGAGTGGTTGTTGTAGTACATGCCAAAAAGGAGTGCTATAACTTATTTCGTTCAAAAAGCACCCAAGTTATTTATCAGTTATGATACGTGAGACTGTGTCGTTCGCAGCGAGTGTGATTGCTTCGTATCGACAACAGGCTACTCGAGTCATAAGTATTGAATACTTTTTTATATAAAGAACAACTAAAGTGAAACTATAAAATACTAGAAATATTCAAGAAATATTTTTAGCCCGGAGGCTTCTCTAACTTGTTAGCGTAAATAATGATACGATTAATGATAATTCAACTATTCATTTCAGGATGCATATCTTTTGAGGAAAAAATTGCGAGGCGTGCAAGATATCGTTATTGACTTCCATCCTTTTTTTCATGTTGACTTTTTGTGGGGAAAGCAAGCAAAGAAAAACGTTTATGAACCATTGATGGATATTATGAAATTTGATTCGGCCGTCATTTCAAATTAGAAAAATCTGTATGGACCATGCTGCATAATCTGCATATTTTTCTGGAAAGCCAAAACCGCATAATACATAGCTTCATGTGTATTTTCTCAACATCACTCGAATAACTTCAATTTAACTATGACAGTGGTAGTTGAAATGTTTGAATATCATTAGCAACATATTAAATGAACAAAAGTAATTAAAATCTAGAATTTTTTTAACCACAAACCTCCCCAAGAAACGCCAGATAAATCCCTGCTGGAAAAAATCATATTAAACATAATGTAATTTTTTTAAGTACAAATCTAAAATTGTACTTGTAAGTTTAAAACCGTCTATTGAATAATACGTTTCAATACCATAGTATAGCCATGAACGTTTTAAATATGAGTCTAAAAAAGTGTAAATTGCAATTTTTTGGTAACTCGATGGAAAAATGTTCATAGTACAGATCTAAAATTATATTTTTGAATTTATAACTGTCTATTAAATAATAAACAATTTCAACAATTTTTAACAATTTTTATTGAACATTTCTATGATAGAAATGAAATCAGAAATATAACGTCAATTATTAAAATTCGTATCAATATTATTTAAATGTTCAGTTGAATGGTGTAATGCTGGGCTTCACGGGGGGTTCGGAATATTACCACGTAAGCTAATTACAATACAGTAAAACTTCGATAATTCGAAATCCTAAATACAGGCTGTACTTTCGAATTATCGAGAATTTCGAATTAATGAAGTTCGAATTAACAAAGTAAAAAAGAGGCCAAATTGAATAAATTTCGAATTACAGAAAAACGCTGGTATTTTTATTTATTTAATATGTAAACACAATTCTCTAATAAGAAGTCATTTTAGATTGAACTAACAGCTTTTGTTTTTTTTTATAAGAAAAGGATTCAACTTTTTGCATTTCAAAAAATAAACCATCAGAAACTTCTTCATCGCAATTTCTTTTCTGTAAAAATGTTTCTAGTTTTTTTTGTTCAAGGTGTATTCTATAGGCTTTACTATGCCAATTTAAAAACACTGGGGATTGGCTGTTTTGCCAATCGTTAGCAACGAAAGTTTTTCACTTCGCTCTTTACTGTGTCTACCATCAAAATATGGTTGACCTTTGAAATCATACGTTTTTGATGGAAGGCACTTGTAAAACAATCCTGTTTCATCTGCATTAAAAATATTTCTTGGCTCGTATTCTTTTAAAATTGGATCGAGCGATGTCATACAAGCAGCGGCCGATTCATCGTTCACACTACCACTTCTCCGCATAATTGATTGAACTCAACATCATTTCGAATTATCGAAGTAAATTTATATGGTATCTAGACTCTAAATGCAAAATTTCATTTCAAATTATCAAAATTTCGAATTATAATATGGTTCGAATTATCGAGGAAAATTAACATTGAATTTACATCGAATAAACGCTAAAAACTGAGCTTCAATTCGAATTATCGAGAACTTCGAATTATCGAAGTTCGAATTATCGAAGTTCGAATTATCGAAGTTCGAATTATCGAAGTTTTACTGTACATGCACTCACACACACAGGCACGCTGTAGGGTTGGGCGGAAATAACCACTCGTAGACACTGGCTGGATTAGGTTTAAATGGATAATGATTTATTGGAAGTACTTAAACTAGGTTGAAATATAATTGAAATAGAATTGGGTCCGTAGGCCGGCAGCACAGATTACGAGTGGGCCTCCGCCGAACCGAGCGTAAACGGGCTGGAGGTGAGAGAGAGATTTAATGGCCGCGTGATCGATACACAGGTACTCATCGACTGGAGTCTGAACTCTATTTCGGCGTCGGACCCACGTTCCACAATCGGAAATTCTTTGGGCTCACAGAACAATAGAACGGCACTAATTAACCGAATTTGTATAAGGGCTCGAATCACTTTTTGTGGAGAAAACGCAGTTACCATCAAGTGAATTTACTCGCGTATCAAATCGATTGCGTGCACACGTGCCAATTGACGGAATAGCAGTCGGCTCTCGGTCGCGACGTACGGTCCGTGAGCCGCTCCGAATTCTCTCTTTTTCCCCCTCTCAGTGTCAGTCGGCCGCACTCGGCCCGTCGCACGGAAGGCGACATAGTTGTTAGGCGCGTCTGCCTCGATGCAATCTGCCTTTGAGGTGTGATAAGTAGCAAAATAATTAATAAATAGTATTGTATATATTATATTTGGGCCTTTGCCTCATGAGCGGGAGAGAGAGAGTAACGGATATATTATCCGTTACAATGGATTGAATTGGAAATTCTGTCGAGAATATACATGCATATGATTATAAAAGCACGCCAAAAAATTACTTATAAAATAATTCCAATTTGTTGGATTACATTTTAAAGATTGGATTAATTATTGATATCGCGAATTTCAAAGAGTCAGCTATAATATTATTTCAATCAAGAAAATCGTATGAAAGTCACTTTTACCGGTGTAATACCTTAAGGGCCCGCTATACATACTCAGTTGGTAACACCAGGATATCAAGCAATTTATGTTAAATCTGAAAAATTGAGAGTGTCATTCGCCAATTCTCGAGTGGACGCACATTTCTAATACACTTATTAACATTGTGGTCGAGTTTCATCCAATTTCATCCATTATTGAAGAAGAAAAACGAAAACAACGTATCTCGTTAACCTACGAATATTTATAGAACATGATTATTCGTAGTTTTTATTTTCTTCTTCAATAATGGATGAAATTGGATGAAACTCGACCACAATGTTAATAAGTGTATTAGAAATCCGCATATTTTTTTGTGCTACCTTATGTTTCTAAACTATTCAATTGGTAATCTCATCTCGTAAATGATAATCAATTTCTTGGCTATGATATTATTGAAATCTAATAAATTCCGTCAAGTATTGATCAAACTAACAATTTTTTGTTTTAATCTGTTATCCTACTGAAATGTTTATAATAGAATAACTCAAAACCTTTTTAATACTTTTTTCAAAAGTTTAAATAGGGGCAAGTATGACAGTCTGATCCTTATAATTTTAATCTAACTTTAAAATTCTTTCTCTTATTTATGAAACTTCTAATTTAAAATTGTTAATGATTAATTACTTAGCTATGATAGTAATGAAATCCAATACATTCCGACAAGTATTCAAGCAAACTAAAAATGTTTTCTCTCAAACTATAACCATGATGCAAAGTTTGTGATAAAATAATTCAATAACTAATCATATGACTGTTGACATTAATAGTAACTGTTAGATTCAATAATCAATCACATTCACATATTATTGAAATCAAATACATTCCGACAAATATTCAAGCAAACTAACATTTTTATTTCTCAACCGATAACCACAATGCAAAGTATAATTGTTAGAATTGATAGTAATTATTCAATTATATACAGTGATAACTGAAATGATACTCTCATGCGATCATGCAAAGGTAACAGTGGTATGTAAAAAAACCTTACTTATGACTCTACTTGCCCGGCCGTCTCGATCAAAT